CACAGGAGTTATTTGAACTGTAGAAAGAAACCACTACACAGAAGTAAGCGGGCTCGTTCCACCATAAGGGAGCAGTATCGGAACGAGTTACACAAGCCTATATAGCTAGAAATTTTTGGGGAAAGCAATGGCCAAAGCTGTGTGAATTGATTTTTTAAGGTTCACCATATATTCAGGTTTCAATGTGCAATGATGGTGGCGTATCGATTGGCTAGCATCTATGAGAATGGTCATGTTTGGGAAAAAAAAAACAAGTTGCTGGACGTTGTCTTTCCAAAAGTACTCAATTTTAATGACATTAAATCCTTCCATTTCATTTCATCAATGTACGTATTATGCAGGTAGGTATAGCTAAGGAGCACAATTTTAAACTGTGGTAAAAGTGTCTATCGCGAAAGGATCAATTAGGGTAGTGCCACCGTTGCAAATGGTACAGTCTCAATTAATAAGTTGGGGAGAAAGTTTCTTACCATTTTTTAAGAAAATTCACAACATTTTTTAATATTGTTTATTTACATTTAACTAAAGTATGTAAGTACCATTTTTTTCGATAACTTTTTGCCATCTTGTAGGTAGGGACATGATCCCATTGCTATAGAAATTTTGGGGCTTCTGATCATAGACCTATATAGTAGGGACACGACATATTGTTCTATACGTACAATTGCTTATATAAATAGCACCCATTTTGAAGGCACACACATAAACATATATCTATCTCGTTCTTACTCAGCACTTTAACTCGCAAGAAAACAATATAACAGTATTTCAGTGCGTACATAAAATGAAACATGAATATACGTAAATGTCTCCGTCTCCGTCTNTTATATAAATAGCACCCATTTTGAAGGCACACACATAAACATATATCTATCTCGTTCTTACTCAGCACTTTAACTCGCAAGAAAACAATATAACAGTATTTCAGTGCGTACATAAAATGAAACATGAATATACGTAAATGTCTCCGTCTCCGTCTAATGAGGCCGAAAATCCGCCATGTTTAGCGCGCCAAATGTCATTATCACGTCAGTTCTAGACATGTGTAAGTAATGCGAGTGATATTACTCGGGTAATATTACTCTACGATGTAATGCAACATCACACATTACGCGAAGGAAGCAAACATCACACTATCACCCAACATGTTTCTTTCTTTGTCGTGTAATGTTGCTTAATACACGAACCTTCGATCAACTTGTTGATCGAAGACACGAACGGAACCGAGCGAGCGAGACAGACTGATCGACGCAAAATAAATGAGCAAGCGACACGGAATTATTCCTAGTGATTTTGAACCGTATGTCCTGGCCGCTAGGTACATTTTTATACCTATGGTACGTCTGAATTTTAATATAGGTATTTGTGTTTATATTTTTCATGCGGCCAGCCGGTAGTTCCCCGCAAGTACTTACTTAATTTTTTATTCGCAACTTTTGTAAAATCGCTAGNATACCTCTTTAAAATATGTCATCAAAACATATTTAGACATTCTGTTTAGATATTTCGGGAAAAAGGCTACCGACAAAATCTCTTCGGAACTATTTAAATAAAATAGTTTTATTCCGCAGTGAGTAAAACACTATTGTAAATTCGTTAAATATTTATTAATTAAGTGATTTTAGAGAGGAAGTCACAAGGAATGACGTTTTTCTTTGCGACATTTTGAAAGTTTCACGAATAACTCCACAAAGTTTTGGTGCGTCTTGTGTATAGATAAGTAACAAACTAACTGAAGAGATATGAAGAAGCGGGCTTTGACTCTACCGCATGCACGTGTTTTGTTTCTAAGAATTAGAAAACTAAATCCTATTGTTTTCTTTCCTAATTTTAATAGCCATTGAAGACAAATGTGGATACCTATTCAAATTTTTTACAATACAGCTTAGCCGGTCGTTCTAACAGATCTAATTCTCCGAAATATTAGTTAAATGTGGTCGTTTTATGAGGTATGTCGTTATTACCAATGTCGTATAAAGCAATATTTTTAATAAGGCGGTCATATGGCATTCAGCTGGGACCTTTGTTTTTGGTTATTATAACCGGCATGTTGTATTAAACGATGTCGCAGTAAACGGTTTTGACTGTAATATTGAAGAAAAATCGCGTATTATGTAAATATATTTTTCCAATAATTCCCTATCGATTTGTTTGTACTTGCACGATATACATTAAACATCACCGGTTGTTACGACTATCGGTTTTTACGACTGAGTATGAGCAGTCCCTTCGATGTCGATATAACAGATTTTGACTGTATATGTTTATGTGTGTACCTTCAAAGTGGGTGCTATTTATATAAGCAATTGTACGTATAGAACAATATGTCGTGTCCCTACTTTAAAGGTTTATGCTTCTGATCAAAATACCGCGACAATTAGTTTTGACAGTCTTCTCGTGATGTTAACCTGACACTGCCTAAAGAATTCTGAAGAGACCGAAACAGGTGGAAATCTGAAGGTGCAAGGTCAGGACTATACGGCGGATGCATTAACACCTCCCAGCCAAGCCCTCTTAATTTTTGCTGAGTGGCTAAAGATGTTTCAGGTCTAGCGTTATCATGATGAAAAACCACACCCCTTCTGTTGATTAATTCCGGCCGCTTTCTCTCTCTCAACTTCTTGCTTTAATCTCATTAGTTGTTCGCAGTAGAGTTCAGAATCGATGGTCCTGCTTGGTGGTTGGCCTCTCATAATGAATAATGCCCTTTCAATCCCACCACACACACAGCATCACCTTGTTGTGAGTTAACCCGGGCTTCGCCAGTCTGTGAAGCCTGACCGGCCTTTGACCACGACCTTTTTCGCAAGTTCTTGTCGTACGTGATCCACTTTTCATCACCAGTAATCAGCTTCTTCAAAAATGGTTCGGTTTCATTACGTCGTAATAAAGAACCACAAATGAGTACAGGGTCCATTAGGGTCCTTTCAGTGAACTCGTGAGGTACCCAAATATCGAGCTTTTTTGTGTAGGTTTTTTCAAATGCGCCAAAACTATTTTGTGGTCAATTCCCAGTTCTTCAGCTACGTCGTAACTACTGATATGCCGATTTTGCTCCACTTTTTCAAAAATGGTATCAATTTTATCCATAATATGGGGGCCAAGAGCGACGTGCATATTTGATATGAAAATTCCAAAATTGAAAACGCTTAAACCAAATTTGAGTAAAAATACAAGCAATTTTAAATCAATTGAAGATGTGAATGTAGGAAAAGAGCACCCGATACGCGCAGACCATGTGTGTTGCAGTGTCTCACTCAGTGTGTCAAATATTAATTTGCACGGCACACTTAGCCAGAACTACTTATATTTAACTACTAACAGAACTTAATATTTAAGTCGCGGTTGAGTGTTCGGACGTTAAACATGAGTTTGAGGAAGTTTAAGTAATAGAACTGAGGTAATGATGTTTGTAATAAAACTCAGTGCTAGATTTTCGACAACGCAGCAATTTCCAAAAAAAACCGTCGAAAAAAAGTCACCATGACGACGAAGCAATGTTTAGAATTGAATTTACATAAATAAACTGTTCCAAGCACGTGTTTTGTATTTACATAGGGCTACACAGGATTGCTTAAGGAAAATTCAAAACTGATGCATGTGTATAATTTTGTCCTATAAATAAATTTTATATGGTCACCACATTAGACAAGGACACCGCGACCAAAAAGTATTCTCTTTCGAGACCGATTTCTCGGCATTAGACAGCACTCCAGTTGTAGGTACTTATTAACTCCATGGGCCAGACTAAATATATAAAGGTGATGCGTGTCTGAAAACATTTATTTTTATCCAGAGAAATTATAGTAAGTCGTATTTATCTTAGGCCCCTTGATGCCCACTGCTGGCCATAGGCCTTTGGGGATGATTAAGCGACCAAGGGAAGATCTTCCACCGAACGGGTGATATTGCTCGGTAGACCGACTGTCCGAAGTCCGAATGTTGTTGTTCGGAACTTGTATATATGCAAGCTTCTCTGGAAAATGTCGTAAGCGAGATTCAGGCATCTGTCAAATATCTTGCGTTGTATGATGGCTACCCGCCACAGGCCTACTCTTTTTTATACCATAATTTTCGATCGTCGGCATTTTCGTCCATTATCATTCACTTGTACACATTAGTTTTTTGGACATCACGAACGTTAAATGAAACATACGCCTTAACTGTTGTTTTATTTGATTTAAATTTATAGTTCCAATTGAACTCTTAACAAACTGCAACCGCCTCTAGTTATTGATGATATACAGTCCATAGGTAGTAAATGATTTTTTTCTTGCATCGAAGGATTGTGGTTGACCCGGAAACCTTGGCCGCATAGATGAACTTGATGGCTCAGCCGAGAGGGGAGGCTTTGCTAATAGCCCGAGTGTTACCGAAGAAAGCCCAACAGCCAAAGAAAATCTGCGTCGTCAGTGCATCTACCACCGGATTGGAATCGTTATCCACTGTGAAAATGCGGCAAGATGCTTAGTGGGCTGATACTACGCTAAGTATCACCTCGAACTCTTCAGCAAATGAAACGAGTACGATGACGTGAGTTTTAGTTTCTACAAGCCTTAGTATTAATAGAGTCCAGCAGCACCAAGAGTGGGCCAGCGGGATATGTGAGGAATTTTTTTAATTATTGCATTTGGCTTCTTGCGATGCCACTGTTGAGTTTATAAAAAAATAAAATTAATAAATTATAAAGAATTTGCTATATAAAAATTAGATACGATGCGAAATGAGATAAAGTTGATTAATTTAAGACTTGAATCAATTGGGATGATCTTAAATACTAAGGGTTCAGTAAAATGTTTGGTTATTTACTGAGACTTCAGTGAACTTTTTAGAAGAACTCGATATGGATGTAGTATCTAGCGGCTTTGTTTTATTTTGCCGCACTTGTGCCCTTTAACTGGGTTTCAACTGTTAACCATAGACATTAATTAGGATTTGGTGTATTTTCTGTGTCATAGACATAACCGTTACCGACTAGGCTGGCAACCACCAACGAAATTATAAAAATCAATTACTAAAAATACCACGCCATTTGTAAAGGTGCCAGCTGTTTTTTTGTTTTTAACTTTAACATTAAAGGATATTGCTAAGTATACATAGTGGCTAGATTGATTTTTTCATCAATCAACCGACGTTATTTTACATAATGTCGGAGATAGTTGAAAATAAGGTTTGTACAATTAATCTTGAGTTCAACAATTGAATCAAGAATTTCCATTAAACTTGTAGACCGATTGTTTATTAGCCAAATTTGAATATGGTTTTTTAACATCATATTTGTTTATTGTTCTGTGTATTCTTATTTGTTCATGGTTTTGAAAGTAGTACACTAATTTTCATTTCTTAGTAAAAGGTAGGTAGAGAGCTTTTTTTTTTCAAATTGCTGCAGTGCTTGTTTATTTCGAAATATTTTGATCATGTTTCTGATCAGGAAATCTTTAGATGTAATCTCGTAAATACTAATTAAGAAAAAAAAAATGGAACTACCTACTTGTTAATAAGTTTCGTTCGACATCCCAAAATTATTAAAATACATTCAATTACTATAAATGTATCTTATTATTTATAGCTATAAAGTCCATTTCCGAAATCCGTTGTACATTAAGGCAGTTAAGAAGAGGTTAAGATTCAACAGGAAGGTGTTATTAAATCTTTGACGTCTTCCTCCAAGGTTTTTTTAATTGCCTTAGCATACAAACAGTTGTTGAATTCATGCTGCGTCGTTTAAAGGCCCTGTGAAATTATATTAATTTAAAATTAATAATATTAATTATTAAGTTAAATTTAATTATTAATTATAGAAATGCATAATTTTTATTAGAACTCCTAAGCTTAAGATGATTATTATCAATAAAAGGAATAGACTTTGACAAGGCTTTGGCTTAGAAGTTGATGAGTAGCTTCCAAAGCAAAGATATATTTTATATCATTGCTTTGGAAGATACTCATCTTTGCAGATTTGCGCAATCAGGATTGCGGATTGCGGATTTCATTAAAAAAATAAATAAATTATAATGTGGTTTTTAGGTTGACGAATTGCCAGACTTGGATAACTTACTTCAGTGTCCAGTATGTTATGAAATCCCTACAGGTCATATTTTCCAATGCAATGAAGGTCATAATGTATGTGGCAGATGTAAAGTTCGGCTTTCTGTCTGCCCGGTATGCAGAGCACTATTTTTTGGAACCAGGAACTATGCCATGGAAGAGCTCATTGCAAATGTCCGAAAACTAAGAGCTTTTGTAAGTCTTCACAAAATAATTATTTTCATAAATGCGGTGAATTTACAGTTCTATTTAAAAAACAAATACTAATGAGTGAAATATTTTAGAAATTAGGTGGAAAAGTTACAAGAGGATTATTAGCTTCAGATAGTAGTAGTACACCAGCAAGAGACAGTGGATCTGACAATGCAGAATATTTGGGTGAAGATGAAAATAACGATAATGTAAGTTGGTGTTGGAGTCTTTGCAGTTGTCTTCTTTTTATGATTTCAGTGAGTGCAGTCACTCACTGCTGTAGTCCCTTAAGATACATAGTGCCTAAAACTGCCCATTAACATTAAATTTTTTTAAAGTGGAATGCTGAAAACTTTTGGTCATATATTCAATGTAGAATTACAGTAATAAAGTAGTTATCAGTGGTTATGTTAATGATACTTGAATGAAAATAAAAAAAATGAAAAAAAATTATGGACATAAATACTGAGAAATGAAATGTAACTTAACTAGTTTTGACAACTATCATTTGGCCCATTTGGTAATTTTTGAAATTGTACTTTCTATTGTTTATATGCAAATTAAACTTATTTTATGTTTAATACCTACAGCAAAATTCAGTAGTGGCCCCTAACCCATGTAAAGGACTTTTTCGTTGCCTCTGCTGCAAGAATGGGAATTCCATCAGACTTCCAGCAGCTCGTTTACTTAACCACCTTCGCTACTTTCATTCTCCAGAACTTTTAGAGGTAAGTTTTTTCCCTACCTAATCATTAGTAGCCTATGGGGCTATTACAACTGCACATTGTTTGGTAGATGAGCTTACCAGCTTAATCTGGGTGGCTACCACTAACTAGAATAAGAGCAGTGCTTTGGTAATTCAAAATCATGACCCACTGAGAAAGATCAGGAGATCTCGGTGGGTTTGTAGATAAGAATAATTGATATTGGTTTTGGGAAATTGTTAAAAAACGCTTATTAACGCTAATTATACGCTTAACGCGTAAAGAAAACAAGAAAATGTAAATGAAAGTTTCTAAATTAGTAATGCACTAAAACAAAACGAAAATAGTATGTCATCAATCATACATAGTTTTGTACTGGGCAAGTCACTACTGTATGATCTTTTTTAATAATTTTTATAGTATGTAAGACCCAACTAATGGTTCTTTCTTTTTTCTTATTGAATTGTCTTGTGACCTATTTTAAAGTAGGAATTCATAGTCAATACAATGTAAATGCCTCGAGATTGTATAATGGTTGGCCATCAAGTGTTATCAGCTGAAGCCCATAGACATCAACTAGGTTAATGCTTTAGACCCACTCGTCCTTGAGACGTAAATTCTAACTCTGTTTTTACAGTACATACATGTATTCAGACTAATTGACGCACCGACAAACCATTATTATAAAAATTCCTCTAATTAATACTTAAATTGCAGGGTCGAGCAGAAGGCGGTGAATACCTTCAAGCATGGCAGATCTCCACCACTCTTGGGAAATTAGTAACTGCAATCAAAATTTCAAACATGGGCATATTTTTCTTAACCATTGAAATATGTAAGTATATTTTTTTGTTTATTTCTGTCAAATAATGATGCAATCATTTTAAAATTAAACCTGGCAAAAATCTAAAAGGAAACTCCATAAACCTAAGAGATAGATAGATAACCTGGCAAATGCATGACGTTCAAGCGAGTTTTAGTAACAGTTGTAAGCATGGCACAAAATAATTTTTCAATCATTTCAAACTAATAAAGATAGAACAAAAACTGGTAAAGCACATTGAAAATGCTGTTCAAAATAGAATAAATTTTTAGACAAAAACTAGAAGGCATGTTTGATATTGTAAACTTATTAAAGCAAGTTGATTTTTACATCTAGCAGCATTCAGCTCTCTCGTAGATACACCAAAGAATAAGCAACAGTGTTCTAAAACTATACTAGCATGTATGATCTTCAATCAAAATAATAGGTTGGGGAAAAAGTTTCTTCATATTTTTAAAGAAAGTTCACAACATTTTTTTAATATACTTTATTTACATTTAACTAAAGTATGTAAGTACTATTTTGTTCGATAACTTTTTGCTATCCCCATAGCTATATAAATTTTGGGGCTTCTGATCAAAATACCAAGACTCATTATTTTATTACTAGTTCATACATACTATAAAGCGAAAAGACTTTTCCCCAACCTATTATATAGTAGGACAGTAGGACTATTATATAGTCTAAGCAATAAGTCATCTCAGCAATAAAAAATAAATAAATAGTATTATATACTTGTATAGTAGGACAAAATATAGTAGGACAGTATATTTTGTAGTATGGTTGAGTACCTTCATCCGGTTTAATAGAGCCACAAAGTAATCATGTGTTCCAGTTTGAAAAGTGGGCAAATCATGCTCTAGTTATCAGTAATCAAGAAAATTTATAGTTTTGCTGCTTGTTTCCACGCAAGTGGCACACCCTTTTTCAGATTGTCTACTAATCTATAGAAAAAAAAGGCTTAAACCCTTCTTGAATGAAAATTAGTAGTCACGAAATATTAAATAGTTTGTAGATAAATTAATAACTAAAAAGATGATTGTTTTCTCAAAAATTTTTGTAACAAAGATGTGTAAAATGGGAAATTTATTGTTATAATAACATTAAAATAAACCCTTTCCAATTTAAAAGCAATAAAATTAAAATATCAAACTGTACTTACATATTTTTTACATATTTTTTTGTGTCCATATATTTTCAAGCTGCCTAGATATGTTGTCCTAACTTTATTAACATAACTAATTATAGTTTCAGATAATATTTTGTATGCTTGGTTGACGATGGCTGCATCACCTTGGGTAGCGAATGGTTTTAGTTACACAGTTACCATATCTGGCAATGACCGGGAAGCTATATTTATTGACAATGTAAGTGATTTTATTTGGCATTGAATTACAATAATAGTAGTTTTATTAGATTCTTATTAGCATTCATCTGCATATTTCCTATAAAATAAAGAGAATGCACAATAGTAGAGTCCCGTGAGCTCACCTCCTCGCTCGGTGAATCTAGCATGACCCCTCAAGGTCACTAGAATAGCTAGGAAGAGAGAAAAAAAAAGAATGGAATGAATAAAATTTATTTGGTGATCTTTACAGGTGTGGTCGGTCAGATCATGTGAAGGATCATTAAAAAAGCGTGGGCATTGTTTGCTTGTGAGCGGGTCCGACGCACGTGCATTAACTGCGCCAGATGTCATAAATTGCAAGTTGTCCGTGCGATGTTCACCGCCCAATCAGATCGCGGAGCAGACACAGCCTCGCTCCGTGCTACGGGTGGCCAATCGCAGCACTAGAGACTCTGTGCATTCCCACACTGCTCATGATTTGGAACCATTCCTCCAAGACCTACAGAACGACGTCGTGAGACTGTCTCGTGCTTTTGCTACGCTCGGTCGCGATGCTAATACTTTAGTGCGCTCTACAGCTGACCCGCAACCTAGACCTCAAATCCGTTCAAACCTACCTTCCGATGAACTTGCACCTACGGCTCCAGAAGAAGCATCTACTTTACAAAATGACGGGCCCGACACCACCGTACGCGTACTATCCCGTAATGCGCGAAGACGCATGCGCCAAAGGCTCAGAGCAGCTTTAGATGAACCACAGCTTCAATCCGAATCTACTTTGTTGAATAACAGATCTGGTCCTGCTCAAGTACAATTTATTCCTGTACCTAATAATCACGTCGCACACAGGACAGGTTTCGCTGTAGTGCAATCGCCTAATGTAACTCCGAATGTTCCTCCCCCAATAAGTGGACCCTCCAACGGCCAACCCCGCGAGAATAATGCTAGTTCTCGAGGTAGCAATAAAAAGAAACGTAGGTAAACTGACATTGGTACTTTTAAGTCATTCTTATTAATTACTAGTAAAAAAAAAAATTCTCATCGCTAGTGACTGCATGCAACTTGTAATGATACATTTTAAATCGGAGTAGTTATTATACTACTTATTTCAACTATTCAAATTAATGAAATTTTGCAATTGCTATTGATATTGGCTTAAATGGTTCAGCATATATGACATATGGAATACTTTAATTAATTGTATTCATAGACTAATTGACAAATAATGCAGTAGTGCATTATGTCTGTAATTATAATGAAATGTGACTTAAAAATGTAATAGTGCTATTGATTTTTTTGTAATTGTTACATTATTCATAGTAATAATTGTCAATTGTAGATAATGTCCGGTATTTGTATACAAAACAAAACAAGAAATTTACGAAATATACTCGCAGTTGTATATTCATTTGAAATTCCTACATGAAACAACACCTTGAAAGGCCATGGGAGGCGCTTGGGTTGCTGTTAACATGTCATAAATTCATTTCAGACAGTCGAAAATCGATAATATGTCTTTATTTTTCGAATACAATAGAAGTATTCGGAAAAGAAAAGACATTGATTAATGAAATATCATAAAATACCATAAAAAATCTTCAATTATTTCGGGTTCAATCAAGTAGCTTTAAAATTAATAATTTACGAACTCGAGCACATGAAAAAATGAGTCGTATACCTAACAGTTTTTTTTGTAATTAAAAATACTATCACCAACAATTTCATTGTGAATCGACTTTCCAGTCTCCCAAAGTCTTACTTCGAGTCGGACTGATCTCTTTTTACACCGGTCACTCACATTCGCACGAATACGCAAACCCGCAAGTGTAGGACGACATTTGCAAATGATTATGCAAAGTTTTCGCTGCATTCGTGGTTTTCCAAGCTGTGTCGGTTTTTTAACAGACATCAAAGCGCGCGAACCGCGATCCTTCGCGTAGTCTTCCACACATTCGTGTGACCAGTTGCGCCCAGGATTGCGAAAGCAACGGACGTTTCGCTATTTTCATAGATCGTGACGTCTACTGTGTAGCGTATCTTCATCAAAAGAATCCCATAAAAACAGCATGGCTGTTAATGATGTCTGGGAAAGAATTCAAAACTCTTTTTCTCTTCAATGTTCTATTGACGAATTAAAAAGGAGGAAAAATTCGTGAGACATTCGTAAACAAGTGTAGGAGGAAGCGCAAACGGGTTCGCAAATTAAGTACCGAACCCATTTGCACAGCCGCTAAGTTTGCGAATGAATGTTTGACGGCCCTTCACATTAGCGATGTAAACCGATTAAAACTTTGATATTAACTCTAATTTCTTAAATACTGTTACTGAGAAATGGCCTGGCTGGTATACATTTTACACTGATGCATCAAAATTGAATTCGAATCGCAATGTGGGCGCTGCTTTTTTTAATGCAACCACTAAAGTTTGTAGTTTACATAAATTACCTGTCGAGGCAAGTGTTTTTAGTGGAGAATGTATAGCTATTCTAAGCTGCATTACTCATATTCTGGAAAAATCAATCAACCCTTCATTAATATTCACAGAGTCTCTAAGTGCCTTACAGGCCATTTCCGGTCACCCTTTTAAAACTTGCATCCATAACCACATTATTTCTAAAATAAAGGAATGCCTTCTTAGATGCCATAACAGTAATATCATTGTTGAACTAGCATGTGTTCCTGCTCATGTCGGCATTAAAGGAAATGAGTATGCAGATGATTTGGCAAAAAAGACTACATTGCATGGTGATAACATTTTTTTTATAATACAATGACCGATACATTAAGTATTGCTAAGAAAGCTTTATTCCGTGACTGGAGCATAGAATGGGAATCTTTTAAGTATAAGTATTCTATAATCCAACCAACAATACCCCATTCCCCATGTTTTTTTAAGTACAGAAATCTTAACAAAAGTACCTCTAGCATTCTTATCAGAATGCGACTGGGTCACGTTTGCTCTCCTGTCCAACTGTTTAAATTCAAAGTAAGAAATACAGCAATATGCGACTGTGGATCCGAGGAAGGTACTGTGGATCATATATTCTTCAACTGCATTCTTAACAATAATTGTGATTCCCTATATACTTTATTAAAAAACATAATCCCCTTCCCCATCAACATGCACTTCCTATTAACTTTCCCCAGTAAAAAGGTAGTCTACTCGCTTGCATCTTTCATATACACTAATAATATAAAATTGTAGTTCCTACTAACTGTTAAATACAAAAATTGTAAAACTAAATAGGTAACTCTATGTTCAGTTCATGCCTGTAAATGTTATGTAAATGTCCTAGCATAATTATGTTGATACCTCCACTACCCGACGTTGGCAAAATTGTACTTTAATCTAAGTAACAAAAGCCAGAAAGAAAGGAAAAAAAAAAAAAAAAACTTCGGATGAACATTGACGGAGACCACGCTACCGTGGACATTATTGTAGTCCCGTCATGACTTATGCGAGTGTGGTGTTCGCTCACGCGGCCCGCACACACGTAGACACCCTCCAATCCCTACAATCCCGCTTTTGCAGGTTAGCCGTTGGAGCTCCGTGGTTCATGAGGATCGTTGACCTACACGACGACCTGGGCCTCGAATCAGTCCAGAAATACATGAAATCAGCGTCGGAACGGTACTTCGATAAGGCTATGCGTCATGATAATCGCCTTATCGTTGCCGCCGCTGACTAGTCTCCGAATCCTGATCATGCAGGAGCCAGTCACCGTCGACGCCCTAGACACGTCCTTACGGATCCATCAGATCCAATAACCTTTGCATTAGACGTCTTCAGCGCTAACACTAGGAGTAGGCTTAGTAACCCCGGTAACCGTACTCGTCGAAATCGACAAAGGTCGACGTACAACCTAACCCATGCATCAGCCCGCTGAGTTTCTCGCCGGATCTTCTCAGTGGGTCGCGATTCCGATCCGGTAGTAGATTCATTCGCGAAGCAATTGCTCTTAAGTTGTTAGGTCTCCTTTGGAGGCGCTCGGACAGTTGTTAGCAAATCCCACCCCTCCTGGCTGAGCCTTTGCTCGCCCACATGTCCTGGTGAAACTGGAAAGGCCTCCGGGCCACCAGTAATCTATCAAACATAAAAAAAATAAAAAAATATTGTAGTCCCAAAGGATTCTGTACATGGGAGAGTAAGCACCTAAATTCGAACGAGTGGGCTTTCTTGTAAACGGTTTATATTTGAGTCGTCTATTATCAAAGGTGGCAATCTGTGCATTTGGACAAAAAAAATTTATTGATATGTCAATACAGATTGATTTGAATATAATCGTCTCCTTCAAAGAGTACGGTTCAAAACCTGCATTAAATAAAGGTTAATACTTAACCTGTTATTTATCTAAGATGTCGTTCCGAAGAGTTTTGTGACTGCCAATGGAATACAAAGTCAATAATTCGTTTTTCTGATTTACCAATCATTGTTCAAAAGTCAGATTGCCGGCTTTGATAATAGTCGACTCATTTCTTCGTTCTTGGTAAGTACTCAGGGGCTGATATTTTTATCTGGGTTAAGAAATTAGGTGTATCGGTTATTCCATGGATTAATCAGATGAATACCCCCACTCTGAACAAATATTAAATATTTTATTATGTATTACTTAGATATCTTTGTCCACCTTGAGATTTCGTTGTTCTTGTTACATGTCTGTGCTAAATCGACTTCATTCGAAATCGATCGAAAATCGATTTCAACTAAAGACTTATTCACAATTTCATAGGCTTCTATTGCCGTTTTTAATATTAAGGGATCATATCTCTTAAAAGGCTTTGCACTCTTTGATACGTACACGAGAGACATATCTAAAAATAGAAAACAATACGTAACTGATAATATAAATATTTACCAAACTATAAAATAACACATTGATAATTTTAAATAAAAGTTCGAGACAAAAACATCATGAATAAACCAGATTTTTACCAACAAATTTAAAATATATTGTTATAACTACATAGACAACCCTACAAACCTGTACCTATTTATACTTAAGTCGTTTCCAATTCACTTATTCTCATCCCAATTGACCCCTTTTTCGTTGTTATTTGTACCTAAGACGTCCACAATATCCCCAAAAACAACAGATTTTTACATGTATTTTTATTTTATCAAATACATTAAAACCAATAACAACTGAGACTTACCTTTAAGATATATGATGGTTCAAGCACTAAATAACGTTTATAAATCACAGTCGTCTTCTATTATAATCAAATAAATAAAAGAAAGCAAAGTTTCTAGCACTAAAATAATTACCACCACAGGAAGTTAATTTGAAATGCGATTTTTTATAAGTTAGCAGCTATTATCATGCATATTCAGAGTTGTTTTGTAAACTTTCAACATTCTACTATTAAACTACAAAAAAATGGAAGATTTTGCAACGAATATAAAACTAATATTGAGCGTCGAAAGATTTTCCCGGTTTTTTCCCGATTCGCCTCTCAATCCCTAATCGCCCCATTTTACGGTACCGTATCCTTATTTTTACTGAGTTGTCAAATTGTCAAAGTTAACATAGTAAAAAAAAGCCCAATGCTAAATTGAAGTGATAAGTTTTAACATAGATTATGCACATAATATTTGAGTTTTTAGTCATTGCGGATTGGTCCTAAAGAATTACTTAATAAATAAACTAGTAATAAACAGCAATAACTTTGGTGTGCTTATTGAATTTTAAAGATTAATGTGACTAGCCAAACCCAGACAAACAAGTTGCCCATAAAATGAGCAGAATACAGGTCGATCCAAAGTTGTTTGTTACATGTCGACTTTGTTTGGATGATACTGGCCAGTATCAAATTGTTCCAACAGTTCAAGAACAAATTAAATTTTGTTTTGATATTCTCGTGAGTAAAATTGAAATAATTGTAAGACTCGATAGGTCATCATTTATAAGGTCTACTCTACGTTATGTTTTAATATTGACCATCCCATGTTACTTGGACTTCATAAATTCAGAATATAATAATTGTAGAATTTTGTCTTGTTTGCATTGCATATTGGTCTTATTACATTATCTGATAGAACTGTTTCTGCCCATTCTAATTGTAAAAAAATAATTTCAGGTGGAACCATTTGATGGCTTGCCTCAGTTAATATGCCAGACATGTGAGCAACGACTTTCGGAATACTACAAGATAAAGAAATCCTATGTACAAAAACAGACAGATCTTAAATCAAAATTAGGATCTAAGGTTTGTTTTTCTGTTTACTATTAATAGTTATGTAGGAACCACCATAAAAACAGTGTATTTATATGATTAAATTGTAGTGAGCATTTACAATTCTCAACTGTACAGAAGCTATGGCAGTAAATATGTACACAAATATAAATATATTAGTGCCTGATGGCAATTTATTAGGTTCAGTAAATTTAGAACACAATCTAATTGCTGCTTTACTACTGAGACCCTTTGAAATAATTAAAATAGCAACATCTCACAGGCCTCAGAAACACTATAGAATCTCCATTATCGCATAGTTCTTATACACCACAGATTATATGCCACTGCCCACATTCAGATACAAGTTTGATTGTTGTGTACTAGTGAGTTTGATGTCTTAATTATGTTCTGTATACTAGATTTTATACTCTTTAAACCAGACCTAATTGCTTCACTGCAGAAAAAGGTAAAAAACATCCTTTGACCTCATGGCATCCATTTACAAAATTTTATATTCCTTTGAAATTAAGTAAGTTTTAGTGTCCTTGCTATAATAGTATCATGAAAATTTAATTGCTTATCTTGAAAATCTATTAGAAAATTTGATGAAATACTGAAAATCTTTAAAATGAATGCATAATTGTATTACTATCATATTAGAATATTGAAATTTTGGAAAATGCTACAGCTGCCCCACCCTTCAAACCGAAACGCATTATTGCTTCACGGCAGAAATAGGCAGGGTTGCGGTACCTACCTGCGCGGACTTACAAGAGGTCTTACCACCAGTAATTACGCAAATTATAATTTTGCCGGTTTGATTTTTATTACACGATGTTATTCCTTCAATGTGAAAGTCAATTGTGAACATTTATTGTTGAGTACGCATTTCATTAGAAAAATTGGTACCCGCCTGCGGGATTCGAACACCGGTGCATCGCTCAACACAAATGGACGTCTTACCCGTTAAGACACGACGACTTAGATCTTAGAAAAATACCAAAACATAAGTAAATAACATATTACTCTTCTACTAATAAAGGTAGTTTCCAAAGAATCAAATGAAATTTATCCATATAGGATATCATCGTAATAGATTTCTTGTAGGTCAAAATACTAGTTACCATTTCTGTGAAGAGGCTGTGTATGTGTGACCCAATGTTTTCTAATGATTTATATCTGAAAAAATCTTTATATTGTAGGATTTAGGATTAATCCAATCACAACAGAATGATGTTACCTCCAGTCAGTTTAATGAATTGGAAAATGACGGTCAAATAACGAAAAAACATGTTTTAAAAAGAAAAAGAATGATTTCATCATCATCAAGTGATTGTGATCCGCCAGTAGAAAAAAAACCTTGGAAAAATGATTCTGAAGTTTGTGAATCCAAAAAATTCGGATGCCGGTTATGTAATTGTTGTTTTACTAGCAAATTGGATATATTTTCACATTTAAACAATTCTCACACAGAGGTCAATAAGAAGTTCAAGAAAATATTTGAAAAACATTGTACTGTGCAACTAACAAAACTAGATAATAGCCCAAATCCAACTGGAATACTGAATTCTGTAATATTAAGTGATGGTAAAATTATTGAAGGTAAACATCCAAAGTATTATGTATTTTTTTCTAATAGAGAAATAAATATCAAAGCAAAGGAGCTCATTGATGAGCAAGAATTGAAGGATTCAAATATTAAGCTAGAAGAAGAAAATTGCCATTTGTCAAACTTTTCATACCATACAGATGACACAGTTTTTGCAGATGCTAATGAAAACTTTAATTACATTGAAGAGTGCAGTGATCAAGAAATAAAGCAAGAAGAATGTATAAAAATTGATGATTCGTCTAATGATTCTAATGATAGTAATATGATTGTAAGGAGAAATTCGAGATTAAACAATTTGAACTCTAAGGATGACATTCATAAAACAATTCAAAATATAGTATCTATGTGCCAGAATACACATAAAAATCGAATGACACCATCTGCAAGTTCAGACTGTAAAAGTTTCAATAATACTGAATCTCAACTAAAACGTAAAGTCCTGAATATAGGTAGGAAGACTGTTAATTCGCATGGTTTTAAATGTACTGGGTTACTGAGATATCTGGAGTCGAAAAACCTTGAAATTCTTTGGCTTCAGAGATGTTATGCTGATTCTGAAACTGGTTCAAATATGATACACATTAATACTAAGTTAAAATATGAAAAATTAGATTATAATGCAGGCTGGATCCCATTCTTTCAAGCTCAACCAGGGAATCAGTTAGTTCCATGTGTGTCAACTGATACACTACTGCAAACTGATGAAGAGGAAAGTGTTGTGTCTAATTTAACAAATGCAGAAAATACAAAGTTATTAAATCCTAATCCAGTAGCCAATCCAAAACAATTTCCAAAAAAGAATAATTTACTTACAGAAAATGAGACAGATACTAAACATTCTAGAAAGAAAAGTAAAAATATGTCTAAAGGTAACAGATCTAAGAAAGAAGCGTCACTTATGGTTGAAGTGCCAAAATTTGAGGAAGAGAATATTCTAATGCCAGTCATAACATCAACGACATCTTTAGCTCCCAAATATGATAAGAATAATACACCAGTTAATAAATCAGAACCTCAGCTGTCTACTGATTCCTCAATTCCTGCTAAAAGTGGCTTTTTACCTCGAATTAAAGTAAAGCCAGATAGTGAACTGATGTCTGAGAAAATTTTAAGTAATATAAACCAATTACAAAATTCTCTAGCACAAAGTCAGAATCAGTTTAAGCAATGTTTACAAATAGATAATTGCATTCAGAAAGCTTTTCCACCCCAACAAAACTCACTGAAAATGGTACAAAACTCATTTTTAAATAAGCCACCGATTCAACAAACGGAACCATTTACTGCTGTGAGCAGTACCAGCCCAGAATACGTTATACTGGATACCGTAGATTTACCAAACACGAAAACAGAATCGCCAATTGACTATGTAAAAAAATTGTTAAATATTTATAGTATTATACTCTTAGATACAACAGAAAAAATTACTCAAGACTTTGACTGTCTTATCAAATTTAAGGTTTGCTTTAAACAAGAATTGAAGGATTCTGTGATATTATGTCTATCCTTGTTTTGTAAAAAAAACTTCTTTTGTATTAAGGTTAAGGATAAAAATCAAGAAAATGTAGATATAGATGTATCAAAAATATCTCCTGTTTGGCAATGGGAAATAATTAAAGTTTTCCAAGGAGATATAGATAATAAAATGTTACACAATGCTCAAAAGGTGAGCCAGGAAGTTTATGAATATGTTGAAAGTTTCCTATGTTTACTAAAATCAATAAAATTTGAGAAACCCTCGTAAATTTTGGTTAACAACATAATTAATTTTTATTTGTAGTCAAAACCCAAAAGCCCTGTCGCTCGTGTTAGCCTAGTCAATATTCAGAACTGACGAAAGGTCCCAGTTAAACCTATTATACTTTATGAAGATACCGATGACTAATGATTTTTAATTAAACCCAGGGCTGTATAAATTTAATTACTTTAGACTCGAAACTTACATTAGGTGTAGATTCAACTAGGATTTTAGTTAAGCGAGTGAGAATAAATTCTTAATCATAAATAATACTATAAAAATACTTTTGGAAATGACATCAACTTATCAACGTTAATTAAATTATTAAAACAAAGATTTCCGTCGAAATAATATTTGTGATAGTTGAGTATTCTGAATTTTCTTTTAATTCAAGATTTTCGTTATTTCGCTATTTTACTAAACCGTGATTAATATGATTTTTAACACGTGTATATTTTCTAAGGCCTACCATACACACGATTGTTGTTTTTGATGTTCGACTATTACTTTTATTCTCCCTAGGTTTTGCTTATCACATTTTCGTTAGTCATATGCCGAAATTGAAATGTATTTAGAATTTGAAGACCATTAGACGGAAATACGACACGTCGGACTTCCAAGGGTATTAAAATATGCATTATAGCTACAAATAGTGATAATTGTTTTGTATCAACTGATTATTATGGTACTTAATTCAGTATTGCAGGACCAGATTAAGGTTTAAATTAAGTAGATACTTTGATGGCACAATTCTGTGCGTTTTAGTTATTCGTACATGTGTATGTCGCAGGAAATTATGTTTTCATGATTTTACTTTTTAGATATTAAAGTATTTGATTGCAACAATTAAATTTATTTTTACATAACATCTTTTACTTACTAAAATTTCCAAAAATATACGAATGCACCGAGCTTCTTTATCGTTAGACCACGACTTCTTGAATAAACAGGAATCAAATAATTATTGTTCAATCACGTCACCTTACCACAATACGATAGAATAATAGGTACCTACTCACTCAAGTACATAAACTGGTATATTTCATTGTTTACATAGGTATTTGTAATATATTCATGTCGTTTCGTAATTATTATTAAATACATAATGGTTTAAGAAAATAAAATAAATCAATATATAAAGATGGTGTGTTCTGATTTTTTTTTATGAGATTGTATTATTTTTATTGATTTATTTAATCCGGTGCCAAGATATTTGTGTTATTATAATATTTAAATGTACATTAAGTTTATTATTTTAACAGTTTATTTATTTATTGTAGCGGTAATATAGTTTGACCACCGAACTTGATAAATTAAGGTTTCTTATCTATTAGGGTCAAAATCAAGTTGGTTATGGGAAGAGTACAAATTATTGGATACTTTATCGTTTTGCACATTGTACTATTTTCTTGAACTTTACCTAAAAGAAATGCACAGTTTGCGCTAACAAGAAATTAATAAATGTTTTCAAAGTCGCATGAAAACTGTACGTATATTTCAGTTTGTCAAAATAGAACAAGACTTAATGTCTTCAACATTTAAATCGAATTAATATCTAAATGTAACGAACACTGAAAGTTCTATATCACTATTCAAAAATTACGCTTTGAAAGTTAGAAAATTTGATCCATACATAGCTCTTTAACGAGAGCTGAAAGGCTATTTGGTTTAAGCGACATTTTTGTGACTTTACAGTAATGCCTTTTAACATTTAAAATATCATAACAAAAAACTTCTTCAGCTAGGTATTTGAATGGTGTAAAACTAATTGAAGTTCAATTAAAAATATTGCACCGTTGATGCTCCTCCTCCTCCCCCTTCAGTCTGTCGCTCATTGCTGAGCATCGTGATGCGCCCGCCTGTGACCTTTTTTTGTAATTTTTACCCACTTATGTCGGTCAGTGGTACAGTGAAGTGCGTGGCTCAGTCTCATGTCCAGATACTCAGACACTTGGTCACTCCATCTTTTTCGGCTGCGACTTCTGGATCGTCTTCCATCCACTTTACCCGTCACTATGAGTCTCTCCAGGTTGTCAGAGGGTTTTCTTGCTATATGACCAAAGTATTGGAGCACTCTATATAGACATTTGGTGGATAGCCTCTTGGCAGCTTTTAGCTCGTTGAGGATGGAAGCGTTCGACCGGAAAGTCGTCCAAGGGATGCGCAACATGCGCCGCCAGCACCACATCTCAAACGCATCTATGCGTCGCCTGTCAGACTCTTTCAAGATCCAGCCAGGTCTCAGCCCCATACAAAAAGATTAAGAAAATGAGCGTCTCAACAATTTGCACTTTCGTCTTCTTGAGTATGTTTCGATCTCTCCATATTTTGTTTAGCTGGCTCATAGCGGATTTGGCCATTCCGATGCGTCGCCTTATTTCGGTTTCCGATCCACCTCTATTGGAAATAATCGAGCCGAGGTACACCGTTGATGCTACTACCAAATAAAACACCTCTAATTAAAGACACGTGTCGCATAAACCAAATAGCCGTTCAGCTCTCGTTAAAGAGTTTGAGGAACCCTTCATACAGTACCGAAAGAATTGTTTGAGGAGAATACTGCTTTGTGGAAATACTTACTATTATCATTTTACTTTAAACTATACCATATTCTACTTATGTATTTAAAGGAAAAAAAATACATCATCAATTTTGTTCGTTTTTTTAAGTGTAGTCAAATTTGTTATAATATAATGAAATCATCGCGGGACCAATTACAGCTCATTTTGAATTAACCTAGACACGGAGTTTTGTTAAGAAACACTCGATTATTCCATAGTAGGTAGGTACGTCATGCATAATTACCGCGACATGAATAATTACGACTTTGGGTATGGTTCTTTTGATCCTGTACTGATGTACGAAATTCCCATCACACAATCGTCTATTACCGACATTTGACTAGGAAATTTAAAAGTAGAACTATTTTTTATTTTGCTAATATATCTCTGGTTTCAAAATTCAACATAATATTGAAAATTCCGTTTCTAATTTTGTTTTGCGTAACGAGCACGTTTCACACTTCACCCTTATGTTATATCTATCAACATTCAACCACAAAGAGCCTTTACATAAAACACTTTTTAACTTTAATGTTCAATAAACTTTATTTTATTTTAGATACAATTTTTTATCCTAGTGTCCATATTGATTTAACATCCATCAATACGTCCTCTGGGGGTGAATGTTTATGAAACATAAAGTATCCTTGAATTTGTGCTGGACTGACTTCTTTTTTTACTTCCATTACTCTGTAAACAAAAACAGGTTTGCTGAGTGTTTATGTGATTGAATGTGAGTTAATTTTGTAGTACATTCTTATTTAAAAAAATATTATAAAACTTATGTGTTCATTTACGCCCATTGAAAGCTATCTTAAATATCACAATCTGTGACTCTTAAATTTCTTTATCGATGTTGGTTGGTTATCTTAAATTAAAACTTACTTTTCGGCAAACGTTTTAGCATGGTCAGCCGCTTTTTCTCCTTTGTAAAATCTTAAGAACATTAGTTCGACCTGTTCTTGGTTGCAGTATCCAACGTATTCTTTCATATCTACACGCCCTGGCCTGATCAGGGCCGGATCAAGCCTAAAACGATAATTTAGTTACGTGGGAACAAACGAGGAATGACTTGAATAAACATAATACGATCTTGCATTTTTATAATTAGTACCTACGGTTTTTAACCAAGTCATACAAGGCACCCTCGTATAGTTGTTGCAAAGTACGCGTGGCTTTTATTTGTAGTTGTAATCGTAAATACACATTTTCGTTAGTGTGTGTGTACCCAATGGGGCGGTGAGAATTAGCTACATAAAGAGTACATTGATGCGTACACAGATTAGTCACTAACACAATTAAGGGCGGCGCGCAGTCGTATTTTGCAACAACTTTAATAGAGTTTCGTAAATTCCTTATAATAATTTTCAGTCTTGACGTAGCGAGTATAGCATGTCGGGAACACGTATGTTTTTTTTTTTTGCTAAGATAAGTAGACAAGCTCACGGTCCACCTGTCGCCATCAATTTTGAGACACGAGGTCTAAGTCTCAGTTTTTACAGTAGTACAACGGCTGACCCACCCTTTAAACCGAAATGCATTACTGCTTCACGACAGAAATAGGTGGTTGTGTCCACCTTAACGGCCTTACAAGACACCCTACCACCAGTAAGTGCAACTTTACTGCCATAGAAGAACCATGCGTACCGGTCTTGCAGGGTAGGATGGCCGACTCGTGTCTAAAGTGTCTATGGATTCCGGTTTTTTTATTGCTTCGATGGGTGGACGAGCCCACAGCCCACCTGCTGTTAAGTGGTTACTGGAGCCCAAAGACATCTACGACGTCAATGCGCCACCCACCTTGAGATATGAGTTCTAAGGTCTCAGTTTTTACAGTACAACGGCTGTCTCACCCTTTAAACCGAAATACATTACTGGTTTACGACAGAAATAAGTGGGGCGGTTGTATCCAACTTAACCTACCACCAGTAAGTGCAACTTTACTGCCATAGAAGAACCATGCGTACCGGTCTCGCAGGGTAGGATGGCCGATTCGTGTCTCAAGTGTCTATGGATTTCGGTGACAACTTAATATAATAACCGGCAAACTTCTTGAGCATTTGTTGACGTAGTGGGGGTAAGTTTGCGCATGGTACACTCACGTGCAAAAACATTACTTACTCTGCGTCATAATGCTATTAAATTATTAAAATCAACATATGTATTTATTTATATATTTATTAGAACATCAACAAAAAATATAGGTTAATAATTGTATTAATTTAATCTTGGGGTAAAATAGATATTCCTTCTATTAAGTCAAAACTAGAACTGTTGCTAGGTCTTGGTTCAGTTGAAGCGAAGCTGGTATTTGTAATTTTTTTTTCGTTATCATTATCTTGACCATCATCATCATCACTGTTTTCATCACCCGAGTCGCTATCATCGTGATGAGTCGACATAGGGCTCATCGGCGTAGTTTACAACTCGGTCGATTCGGTCTTCTTTTTTGTCTATAATTAATTATTTTTTGAAGATATTCGATTCGTAGTAATCGAATGTTACTTTTTTCATTTACCAGCTTCCGATTATTTTCTGTTCTTTTTTTCCATCTGAAGCCTAGCTCTTTCATAATTCGTCGTAAGCTTCATTCCGAGCCATTAAAATTTATATCTTCTTTAAATTTTTCGAAGCCTTTCTACGGTACGGAGTTTCGCTGCTTGTTATGTAGTTATTATGATTACATCTTTTTATTACAGATTGAACGAAACTATCCATTCCGGTAACTTTCTTCTTCCCTGATCTTTTCTTACCCGGAGTCCGAAACACGGCGAGCAAGCCAGAGCCTTTAGCTTCGTTAATAATGCACCTAACAGTACTCACTGATGTTTTTGTTGCTTCCGAAGTCTGTTTTAATTTTTCCATATCATTCTTCCCCTGTTTTATAATGAAGCAATATACGTCGTACACAAATTTTCTACCCTTTCTTTTAAGTACTACACCAGTTTGTCACGGCATAGTGTATGTTTTATAAAAAATCAACAAACACTCAACAAATAGCAATGGCAACAAAGTCCACAAGCAATTATAACAAATAACTTAACGATTAATAACGATAGACTTTCCACTGTACGCAAGCGTACTTTTGGGAGCAAGCGGAATGAGGGCGCGGTGCGGGACGCAAGGTTCGACTGATCTACCAATAACGCGCTCGATACGATTTCCCCTGCCGTCGCGCCTCACCCTCACCACCAAAGTGATCTAAAATTCGGTTCTGCGCAGTCAAGGTCATTTGCTCAAGAAGTTTGCCGATTACTATACCAGATGTACGAGTGAGTTTGTTTATCATTCGATATCCGTTAAGA